TCAGCGGGATGAATCCACCCTACTATACATGCCTTCCTGTTCAATATTTCAAGATTCCATCATGATTCCTTAGAGAGTTATAGATATACAAGACGTCCTTACATTTTAGCCAGTTATGCTGGCAGTAAATATTGGTGTTGTGTCGCTTGCAGTAAGTGTTGGGCCGTTTGTAGAGTTATGAAGGTGAGGTGAAATCGGGTTTAACGTCGGATCCAAGATTATTGCACTTATATAGCGACGAGCATGAACGTGTGTGTGTGTGTGTGTGTGTGTGTGTGTGTGTGTGTGTGTGTGTGTGTGTGGCTGCTTGTACTAGTCCGGACTGATGCCAATTTATAGTGCTAGCACACTGAGATACCATGCCGCAGTTTAACATGGATACCCCACTCAGACACAGTATACTGACTCCGAGCCGACCAGTCCTTGTTTTAGCCCCTTTATGCCGAGCGCCAGACAGGGTAACAACAAGTACCATATTTTAACGTCTTTTGGTATGACGCGGCCGGGAACGAACCCCGGACCTTCCACTCTCCAGGCGGACGCTCTACCACTAGACCACGGAGGCGGTCGTAGAGTTATGAAGGGTTGCGTCGGGCTTTCCCTCTACATCAAGCATACACGCAGTGGTATAACTGATGTACTTTTGAGCGGAACCAGTCAATCACAATTTACTAGGGCCTCAGTTCGAGTGAGTTTGGTTCAACTCACTCTTTCACGCATAACATGTGCTATCGGGGTAGTACAAGATAATATATAGTATAATCATAGTAATATTAAAATGATGCGGGAAGTAATCTCACTGTCAATATTGATATTGTTGCTCGCGAGGAGCTTGTGCAAAATATGATTCACTTGAAGCTATCCAATTGTCGCAATCATGTCGGAAAATTGTAACTTCGAACAAACTACTACTACTATTACTACTACTACTACTACTACTACTACTACTACTACTACTACTACTTTGAACAACTACTACTAATGGGAGGGCGTGATTTGATTAACGGCAGTAGAGAACCATCAACAGCGATATTGTGATCATGTCCCACATCCTTGGCTCATTTAAGAAAACTGTGGAATGCCTTGTTTTCATCATGACTCTTTGCATGCTTCACAAGTGGATCATCAGACAGTCAATGCCATCGATGTCGTTTTGACATGACAGGTCTTCAAAAGGTTTTGTGTTGTACATATGGATATAAATGCATGATCAGTTAACAAAGTAGGACAAGGTTTGCAATTTGAAGTATTGCATGGTGTGTGGTTCGAAAGATAAACATAATTTTGGTGATATTAGGAAATCAATTTTTCTTTTCAAAATAACAGAAGTTGCCTTCATGTTCTATATAAGGAGAGTTCACGATATGCTCAAGAGCCACTCGACGAAAAGACAACGTTCATCATAAATAACACACACAAACATATATCATAACATAACATAACTTGATGCCTATATTCTTGCATATCAACGAGCTATATGTCGGCGTATCTGTTGGCAATTGAGAAATAGCCACACCAAATATGAGGCACGTTATTAAAGATAGTTATCAGTATGTCGCAATGTCGTGCATTTTAACGCTTTGTTACACATTATTGATGAAGAGACAATGAGACAATTCGACGTATATTGAGCTTGAAAAATATTACATTGTCGCTTTGTCGTCCTTAACTAAAGAATAAAAGAGATTATTCGAAGTGCGACAAAGCGACAATATGACAAATGGCCAAAATGTCTCGTTTTTGCATTGTTGCGCCTTGGTTAATTTGGTTAATGGACACCTTTTTCTTGTTTTTGTTTGGGCGATGATGCGACAATGCAACAACGCGACAGTGTCCCATATAAGATTCCATACTTTTTGCATGGAAAACGATGAAAAATGTATAATTTTCGACATTTTACCTTTCCCAACAGAACATGCTCTGTTATTGCTTATGTCTTATGCATGTCTTATTATAAGGGTAACGCTATTTTTAAGGGCATTATCATTTGCAGAAGCCCGAGGTCTTCCATTAACTGCCCGAAGAAGCAAGGCAGTTGAAAAGACCGAGACTGAAAAATAGCGTTACCGTTATTATAGCTAAAATGGATGGAATTTGTTATCAAATAAAAAGAAACAACAATATCGGTTTTGAAACATTTACTGCAATCAACACGAATGTCATTGACCGACTTTTACAAATATGGGAACGTCATAGAACAAACCAGATGACGTCACTATAATACGTGACGTCACTTTCCCTACCTATGACGTCACCTAACAAGGGGCTTGTAATGGCCCGTCGTCAAGCAATTTGAGGGCATTATCAAGTTACAGTTGCCCGCTCATTTCTCATAAAGTGCGGGCGGTTTAATGATTATTCTGTCCATTATAGCTGTAATAAAAAAATAATATATTTTAGAATTTTATTCGCCCAATTATGGGACAGACCACCAACACTACAGTATCTTCTTAACAGAAATATGTCTTCTCCACCATTGTTATATTAGTGGATACAACACCATATATTTGAAATGAACACAAAACGGAATTAACAGTTTTCAGAAATTTGAATATATTTATTTTGCAAAGCAATTCGCAAGCATTTGCAACGGGTGTTTGTGGCCGGTCCTGGTTGTCTATGTGAGTTTGGTTTAAATCCGCCTTGAAAGGTAGTTCAGTTATCTCAGGGTATGTGGCTTGATGCGGGATGAAAGCCCAAGGCTATACAGGTATGGGCAGTGCTTTTAGTAGAGGTGTCTGATGATTATGGAATGGGTTTGGGGGCTTTAGTGAACGAATTCGGATATGGTTGGTTGGTTGGTTGGTTGTTTTACGCCGCACTCAGAAATATTCCAGCTATATGACGGCGGTCTGTAAATAATCGAGTCTGGACCAGACAATCCAGTGATTAATATCATGAGCATCGATCCATGCAATTGGGATCGATGACATGCATCAACCAAGTCAGCGAGCCTGACCACCCGATCCCGTTAGTCGCCTTTTACGACAAGCATAGTCGCCTTTTACGGCAAGCATGGGTTGCTGAAGACCTATTCTACCCCGGAACCTTCACGGGTCGAATTCGGATATGGGACTGACAACACTTGTAACAAGCAATACTCACGATCATGGGTTTCTAACCTGCCCAAGGGCCGCAACTCTGTATGTACCCAGTAGTTCATGATATGACACGACTGACAATCTTGAAGCATTTATCTGTCACAACAAAGTCTCAACGAAATTGACACACATACTTCAAGAAGTGATATAGTGATGGCTCAGTGATTAAACTCATAGAATAGTATACTGATAGCCACTGATCATTATGAATGCGAAGTATAGCCTTCTGATCACTGTACCCAGGTAGAAAAAACCTTCGGTTAATTGTAACTAGATAGTATAGCCTTCTGATCACTGTACCCAGGTAGAAAAACCTTCTGATCATTGTAACTAGGTAGTATAGCCCATTGATTACTGTACCCAGGTAGTATAGCCTTCTGAACATTGTACCCAGGTAGTATAGCCTTCTGATCATTGTACCCGGGTAGTATAGCCCTCTGATCATTGTACCCAGGTAGTATAGCCCTCTGATCATTGTACCCAGGTTGTATAGCCCTCTGATCATTGTACCCAGGTAGTGTAGCCCTCTGATAATTGTACCAAGGTAGTATAGCCTTCTAATCATTGTACGTAGGTAGTATAACCCTTTGATTATTGTACCAAGGTAGTATAGCCCTCTCATCATTGTACCCAGGTAGTATAGCCTTCTGATCATTGTACCCAGGTAGTATGGCCTTTTGATCATTGTACTAAGGTAGTATAGCCTTTTGATCATTGTACCCAGGTAGTATAGCCTTCTGATCATTGTACGTAGGTAGTATAGCCTTCTGATAATTGTACTGATGCAGTATAGCCTTCTGATAATTGTACTGATGAAGTATAGCCTGCTTATAATTGTACCCAGGTAGTATAGCCCTCTGATCATTGTACTCAGGTAGTATAGCCTTTTGATCATTGTACCCAGGTAGTATAGCCTTATGATAATTGTACTCAGGTAGTATAGCCTTCTGATCATTGTAGCGATGTAGCACAGGCTGTTAATCATTGTACACAGGTAGTATAGCCTTCTGATCATTGTACTTGGATAGTATTACAAGGACATGCTCATGACATATGTTACGGGAGGAGAAATTTGAGTGAAAGTGGGAAACATTCCTTAAATGTTCTTCACTGTTACCTCTGACATTATACATAGGTTACGCGCGACCCTATCACATCGCGGACCCAACCTAAGAGTGACATATGCCGTCCATGGCTCAAAAGTAGATCCTTCCTGAATTTGGTTGTACAAAAATATTTTTCAGGCTGTGACCGTGCAGATGCCAGTGACCCTTCAAGTGACTTTTCAGGTGAAGTATTGACTTGACTTTGAATGTGTTTGTGATGCGGCCGGATACGTTCACTTTTTCGTGATCACCTGGCATCATCACTTTTTGATCGTGATTCATCAATACATGCTCATAGCATAGTCAGAAAGGTTCACTCGACTCTGTATTTGAAATGGATTTCTTATGAATATAGTGATATTCTGCCACAATATTTTCAGTGAAAGACCAAATGCACTTTAATTTTTTAGCCTAATTAGTTCAAGAATTTGGTTTTTCTTGCTTGGAATCTCATATTACTAATTCGGTGTCGTTATAAAAATGCACCTTGCCTATTTTTGCATAATTGTACAGTGTTTCTTCTCAGATACCCTGAACTTCAATAGTTTCGCTGGCCATCATCGCTTCATCCTAATTCTTGAGAGAAATACCTACGATACCAAATGAAAAGATATATAATATAATTTAACATTGTTCGGAGTTGACCACTTCACTCTACGTGCCAAGAACAGATTATCGTTATCGAATTGGGATATATAAATTACTTTCTTTGTATATAAAAAAAAAGGCAACGCCCTGTCCCCATGTAGCAAACATCACTGGTGTCACTTTGTTCTGCTTGAGGCAATACCTATCAGCAATAGACAGGGGGTTTTAAGATCGGTTTCACCATTGACACCAACTTGTGATTGGCCCCTTTCTTGATAAGCATTCTAAGCACAGCCTTATGTCCTCTGTGTGCTGCAATCATTGCTGGGGTGCGACCATAGGCATCTTGACTGTTGATGTCCACAATGTTTTGTGCGATAACATACTTGACTGTCTCAAAATTTCCTCCAACACAGGCCATATTCAGGATGTTATCACCAACATCATCGACAATTCTCAGATCAGCCCCATTGTTAACAAGCAAGTCAAACACAGCCTTATGTCCCCTGTGTGCTGCAATCATTGCTGGGGTGCGACCATAGGCATCTTGACTGTTGATGTCCACAATGTTCTTTGTGAGGAGGGACTTGACTATCTCAACATTTCCTCCAAAACAGGCCAAATGAAGGACGTTGTTTTTGTCATCACTCAATAGTGATAGATCTGCCCCTTCTTTTACAAATAAGTCAAACACTTCCTTATTTTTGGCCAATGCTGCATCCATTACTGTCGTGCACCCATTCTGTTTTCTGTTGATGTCCACAATGCCCTGTGTCAGTAGGTACTTGATTATCTCAACATTTTCCCCTTCACAGGCTAAATAAAGGATGTCATCTTCGTTATTATTCAGAAGGGATAGATCTGCACCTGCCTCCACAAGAACGTCAAAGACACCGTTATCACCGTTAGAGGCTGCAAGCATTATTGGCGTAGTCCCTTCCTCATCCCGACTGTTGATGGCCACAATGTTTTGTGTGAGGACATACTTGACTATCCCAATATTTCCTCCCTCACAAGCCAAATGAAGGATGCTGGCATCTGTATTATCCAATAACGACAAGTCGGCACCTTTTCTGACGAGTAGGTCAAACACTTCTCTATGTCCTTCCACTGCTGCAAGCATCACCGCTGTCATATCGCCCTTCGTCATTGAGTTGATGTTTGCCCGGGGATCAGACAAAATGGATTTGACTCGGCTCAAATCTCCCTTCTCACAGGCATCAAGGAGATCACTGTCGGAATACACTTGCGTTTGAAGCTCTTTTTCTGTAGGAAGACATCACATCATTTGCACAATAAAAGAAATATCCGATGTCAAGAAAAGTAATGCATGTGTTAAAAAATAATATATTAATTATAGATATTTTATACGACAAATTCCTACAGTTCAGTATTTATGCCAGGGCGTCAATGAAATGAAAGATGAAATGAGCGTTGGTCCATTTCAGGCATCATCATTTGTTGACGATGTTACTTGTCTTTGCATGTGTTTGAGATGGGTACCACAGGTGGGTCAGGAGTCCCTCACTTTTCCGTGAATACCTGGATCATTATTCTTTGATTGTGAATCAAGAACAGTTGGAATCGTACAATGAACTTAAGAAGTGAATGGAATTGATGCCACTATTTCAAAACCAGAAAATGTATTACGTCGCGATAAATGCTTCATATTTTAATTGTTACATTTGGTTGGTTTGTTGTTTACCGCCGCACTCAGCAATATTCCAGCTATATGACGGCGGTCTGTAAATAATCGAGTCTGGACCAGACAATCCAGCGATTGATATCATGAGCATCGATCCACCCAATTGGGATCGATGACATGCATCAACCAAGTCAGCGAGCCTGACCACCCGATCCCGTTAGTCGCTTTTTACGACAAGCATAGTCGCCTTTTACGGCAAGCATGGGTTGGTGACATATATCATTCAACTGTTTTGATTTTACCTGGTGAGCAACAGTGCCTTGGTGCTTTGGTAAAAAAAGTGAAGAAATATTACGCTGATTCTAAATGCCTTGATGTACTACTACTACTACTACTACTACTACTACTACTACTACTACTACTATATATATGCAAGATGCAATGGCGGGCTGCAAGTAACACGTATGCACAAACGAAAGCACAAACGAAAGCAAAAACGCACAAACGGCCATGGAATTTCTGTGGAACTATCTATACTCACACGCAAAAGAAACGCAAGTCAAGTATGCAGTATACATGTTATTTATTTTCAACAGTAGAGACAAGAAATACTAATAGGGCAAGATTGACAAACATTTGACTGAAGACAGTTTAATGGATTAAAAGGCAGATGACATAATTGTTTTTTTCTCAAGGGCTTACACAGTTTCGTGTCAATACCCAAAACGTCAGTCAATACCTGGTGTGACCACCATTAACATTGCCACACATCTCCTGTACATTGAGTGGATCAGACGATTTGTAAAGGCCCTAGGGATCCTCCTGTACACATACAGAGCAGCTGTGCGAAGTTCATCGGCAGTTGTAGGGACTGGGCGCACATTGTGCAGACGCCTTTGAACCTCATCCCACAAGTGTTCGATGGGGTTCAGATAAGGGCTGAGGGCTGGCCACGGTAGAACACGGATGTTGTGTTGTTGCAGAAAGGCCATGGTAGCTCTGGCACCATGGGGACGAGCGTTGTCCTGCTGGAAAATGTGTTGTTGATGTTGTGCAAAAAATGGAACAACGTGGGGTCTGATCACTTGGTCGATATACCGCTGAGCTGTGATGCCGTGTCCCCGACCTTGACCAACATTCAGAAGCACATGGGTCCAAGTCTCGCATTAAGTCTAATCCCTGCCCATATCATGACGCTAGGTCCACCCCATAGATCCCTTTCCACAAAGTTTCTGTCAGCGAAACGATCACCTCGACGCCGCCAAATTCTGACTCTTCCGTCAGCATGGGAGACACAAAAGCGACTTTCATCAGAGAAGATGACACGCCTCCACTCACGATGACGACAATTGCGATGACCATGTGCCCACTGAAGTCGTGCTTGTTGATGCCATGGTTGAAGAACAGGACGACGTGCTGGTCGACGACATCCGAGGTTGTTGGAACGGAGACGTCGGATAACAGTGTCCCGGCTAATGTGTCGATTATGTGTTCCTATGGTCTGCCGAGCACTTTCACTTGCAGTTAGGAACGGATGTCGCTGGTGTTGACGGGTAATCTGCCGATCTTGTCGAGGTGTGGTGACCCTTGGACGATCGCTCCGAGGAAGGTCATCTCTGGTCTGTGTAGCATTGTATCGATGCAGGAGACAGTAAATTGTGGTTATGTTAACGTTGAAATGACGGGCAACATCTTGGATAGACTCTCCAGCTTCCAAACGTCCGATACTCGTATCAATTTATGATTCCGTGTTTGTTACCTATTTGCTTAAAACCACTTGCGTTTCTTTTGCGTGTGAGTATACATAACATACAAAATTTGAACTGAGCTGACGAGAAGCGGTGCTGTCACAGTGGTGGGGCCTCAGACGACAGAAAACACGACAGATTCAATACCACTAGCGCTAAGCGAATGAGCTCCAGTGACTTGAATGAATGAATGGAGTTAGCAACCGTACCTGCGGAAAATTCAAACGGAGCCAAAGACAGGAATCCAAGCCCTGCCGACTCGGCTCAGGTTGAGACGGGCGGGCCCCAGCCAGGTGCAGCATATCTGCGTGAGACGGGCGCACCGCCTCGGCTTGTGTTGGCCACGGTGCAGACGTGAAACCCAGCTGTGATTGGGACGGTGGCGCCGACTCGGCTTGTGAAGGGAATGGCGGGGACGGGTCCGCCCAAGACGGCAACACCAACTCCGACTCCGCTTGAGTTGAGACTGGTGGACATCGCCGCTATGAAATTTCGGATGCCGGAGTGTCCCATTGTGTTTCAAACCCATTTCCGACCTCGTCTTCAAAGTGTTTGCGTGTACTAATGCCGTCAAAAGTAAGGCACCGCTACGAAACTGGCGTGTACCGGAGCGTCCCTGGGTTTTCTTATCTCATTTCCGATCTCCTCCATGTTCGAATCTTCAAATGGTTTGCTTGTAACAACGCTGTGAAAAGTAAAACACCGCTTGTGGGAACATCGCCACTACGAAATTGGCCGATACCAGGGTGTCCTCGGGTGTTCTAACCCCATTTCTCACCTCGTCTATGTTCGAATCACCAAAAGCCATCAAAAGTAAGGCACCGGAGCACTTGGCAATTGGGAAACAAAAGACCTAGTCAGCGAGTCTGACCACCCGATCCCATCAGCCTATTTCGACAAGCACAGTCGCCTCTTCAGGCAAGCATGGTCTGCTGAAGACCAATTGTAACCTCGATCTTCAAGCCTAATATACATCATGACGAAGACATTTGCAACAAGACTGGGTATTGCTCTTGGGTCTCTGGAAGGCCAGTGAATGGGGGTTAATCGTATATTTATGATGCGCTTCCTTCAGTATTTGTACTCAAATCTGGGTAATTCCTAAAATCAAATATAACTTAAATCGGTGTTACTTTTTACATGCCTTCAAGAACAAACAATGAGGTCCATATGGCACCATAACTTTATGCAAACTTTCCATACTTTCTATGAAGAACCTCAACAGAGATGATCTTTAAAGTAAAGTTTATGAGAAAAAAATACCAAATTAAAAATCCAATATGGCCACAACTAAACAGGATAACCAAAATCGAGATAATTCTTGGAAGTTTGGAAGCATTTAATTCAGTAGGTTCAGAGGAGTATGGATCTGAAGACATGTACCTTAAAAAACCACTGTGAAGACCTTGAATCCATTATCAGGATTCTGTGCGCGGGGGAGTTTTGGCGTCTCTTGGCGCAGGGGGTGGTCATACACGCTATTAATGTGATGTGTCATTGAACGTGATTTTAGATGTGTGTGCGTGCCCTTTGTCCATTACTTTGAAACCTTGGTTTTACTATCCCACCTCATGGTGGATGCCGATATCGGATGCTGTACAACATTGATTTTAAATATTGATTTCGTTGAGATTTTAACAGTCACTAAAGCAACGAAATACTCAAATAAACTTAACACAAAGCAGAAAAGGCATCCATTCACAGAAATATGAAGCAATTGGGATGGTGTCCCATGGACACGCCAGATCGTGGGCTCGAATCACGGTTTCTAGGTTTGTCAGCACCATACCCAAGCTCCTGGGTTTCACCAAAGTCGTCGACGTCTGAGAACTGCATCCTTTCGGGCTTTCCTCCTTCATTAAGCTGACACGCTTTGAAATAACTGGAATACTGTTCAAAGTGGCGTTAAATCAAACACACTCACTCACTGTTAGGGAGGAGAGACTGCTGAATATGCCATCTGCACGAACTCTTGAACTCTTGGATAGTATGTTTACATTATGATGGAATGGTTGGTTGGTTTGTTGTTTAACACCGCACTCAGCAATATTTCAGCTATGTGACGGCGGTCAGTAAATAATCGAGTCTGGACCAGACAATCCAGTGATTAATATCATGAGCATCGATCCACGCAATTGGGATCGATGACATGCATCAACCGAGTCAGCGAGCCTGACCACCCGATCCCGTTAGTCGCCTTTTACGACAAACATAGTCGCCTTTTACGGCAAGCATGGGTTGCTGAAGACCTATTCTACCCCGGATCTTCACGGGTCTATGATGGAATTGACTGGTCTGTTACAAAAGTTACATATAAAATATGAATAGAAATTCATGTTTTATTTTCGATCGAAAACCGAGTGACTTCTTACATAATCATGTTAAATAATGCAACGGAACCTGTTCTAGATCTATAATCATAAGAAAGAACATTGTGCTATTCCGACAACAGTAAACTACGGTTATAACGAACTCAAAGCGACTACTTATTTTAGTTCGTTATCACCGTAGTTCGTTATAAGCATATATACAGCATAACTACAGCAAATAGTCGGGACCAAAAAGTAAGTTCGTTTTATCCGTCAGTTCGTTATAAGCGTGTTCGTTATAACCGTAGTTTACTGGATTACACAAGTATTATTTGATATTGTCGTAACTGCTTTCGGGCGTCCAGAGCGACCCTAATACAGTTACAAAATGTATTGCCGTTCCTGGTCCTTGTGGTCAATTAAACTATGTGAGTATAAAACTGGTGTTGCGTTTCTTTATTATGCGTGCGTGAATGCTGATAGAGTCAACTTGGAGTAAGTGTCGTTAGACCAATCACTCCTTGACGGAGTCGAGCCGCGGCGGACAATGCGAGTGGCAATGTCTTGGCGTAATTGACCACGAGGACCAGGAACGGCAATACATTTAGTAACTGTATTAGGGTCGCTCTGGACGCCCGAAAGCAGTTACGACAATATCACTATCAAATAGTGATGAGACAACGTGAGCGTATCCGTCACAAAAGGCATGCAAAGACAAGTCAACCAAAGTTTTGAGGTGAACAACACAGGAACATATAGTCAAGGACACAGTCATCACGTCATCAGTCATGGCGTCATACCATTTAAGCCAATCAAATTAAATCACCAGTCAGCCGTTGCTTGAAAGTAAAGATTCTTCCTAAGGAATTACTTCACGTCCAACTCTCTCACATAAGTGTAATATGAACTATTACTCCCTGATTCACGTGATGGGTAGCCTAGTGATGAAAGCGTTCGCTCGTCACGCCGAAGATCCGGGTTCGATTCCCGAGAGTGGTACAATGTGTGAAGCCCATTTCTGGTGTCCCCCGTCGTGATATTGCTGGAATATTGCCAAAAGCGGCGTAAAACCATACTCAGTAAGTCAGTCAGTCAGTGATTCATGTGAACATTTGACGATATTCACCTTTCACACACACAGTGCTGCTGGTTCGAGTCTCTAGGCACGTCATGTTTGGGCAAGTCTTCAATTGACAGGAGCCAGCTCTGACCTAAAACAGGAGTAAGTAGGACACATGTTTTGATCATATTATTCCTTCTGTTTATTTCTCTGGCAAATATATACTCTGTAAAAAAAACAAAACAACAACAACAGAAACGCAAAAGTGAGTTTATATATATGTATATATATACTCAACAGCAAAAGTTCCTGTGATACCAATATTTTAGTGTATTTTTCAAACAAGTAAAGTTTGTTTTTCAATATTGTAGTACATGTGTGGAATCAAGTCACAAAAACGCAACTGCTACAAAAATGCACGCATTCCATGCAAAAGTTCACTTTTATGGAAGCCCCATGCATTTCACAACCGAAGAATGGGTATAAGAACATGTGCGTTAACGGGATTCCACATGCATTGTTTAGCATCGTGCTGACAACAACCACTCAGAAAAACAACAAAATTACGCAATTATTCAACTTTACGGAATGCCACGCCTGTCCGAAAATTAGTGGTATGCTTGAAGAAGGATCGAGTCAACGTGATGTGTGATGTTGCAAGACAATTTAACGTCCACAGAAACACCATTTAGTGTTTATGGCAACGCTGGCAACAGATGAATGCAGTCAGAGACCATCCTCGGAGTGGTAGGCCACGCGTAACCAATAATCGACAAGACAACTGGATTCGAACAACACACCTACGAAATCGATTCCAGCCAGCAACAGTGACTGCAAGAAGCATCCCTGGCCTTCGACGAATATCTTCACAAACCGTACGTCGTCGTCTCAGATGTGCAAGGAATGTCGCCAGAAGACCCGCCAGGCGTCCCATTTTGACAGGAAACCACCGTCAAACACGTCTACAGTGGTACAGACAACGTCTACGCTGGACGGGTTAGCAGTTGGGACGTTCTATTCACTGACGAGTCTCGTTTTCACCTCAGCCACAGCGATGGACGGATACGAGTGAACCGACGTCGGGGTGAACGTTACGGCAATCATTGTGTCATGGAAGAAGATCGGTTCGGGGGCGAATTGTGGCATTCTACCTGCCTGCAGTTCCTGTGCAAACTGTCGGAGGTTCTGTGGTTGCTGCTGGCGTGCTCGCAGTCGGGGATCCAGTGCATCCCATAAATGATTGGGTTGAAATCTGGAGAGCAGGAGGGCCATGACAGGACATTGGATATTGTGATTCCTGAAAGAAAACTGTTTTGCCGTGTAAGGACGGGCGTTGTCTTGTTGGAAAATGATCGCCGCTTGTTGCATAATGGGAAGGACCTGTGGTCGAAGAGACCCATACGTGTAACGTTGTGTCGTCAAGTTCACCAAAATTTGCACCAAGTCTGTTCCACCAGTGTAGGAGATGACTGCCCTCATCATCACGCTACCACCACCAAGTCTTGCCACTTTCTGTATGCAGTTTCGTGCATAACGTTAGTAGTATATAGTGAGGGCGCAGACGCTGGTTTTGGTGGAGGGAAAAGTGGAGGGAGCTTGAAAGGGTCCCCCAGCCTACCGGGACAGCGCGTCACAGGTGTGGGGGAATGAAAGGTGTGTGTGTTTATAAGGCAGAAAAGAATTCGTAAGTAAACAAAAGTAAAGGGTATTCAATAGGGCTATGCGTGTGGCGTGTTGCCCTGAATAGACAAGCAGCCTAGTTTGAATTGAGCGCGCTTGACAACTCACGTGACCACGTCGTTTCAAATTGTTTATTGGTCATAATGGTTTCGTTTATTTCAGGCGTTAGTAGAAATTACAATTAGTGTACAACTCACGTAGTCGTTTCAAATTGACCGCGCTCGCTAGAGCGTGCGACCTGGTTCGATGAATGCAGGGTGCGTGTTGAAAGTACGACCATACCACCATAGAGACGGGTTGTGTCAACATGATATACGCCGGGTAATGTAAGGAAAAAAAAAATGTACGTCTAGCTGGATCAAATTCATCTTATACGGTCTACACGTTGTACACCATGAACGTTAGACAACCTGTATAGAAAAAAAAATATAGACGAAATAGATAAGACTACGCAATCAGCAAGC